TAAGGTCAGAAACTCTGACGTGTAGAATCAGCTGCCGCAGCCTTTCAACTTAGACGTTAAGATAAATGAAAACGAATCTGGTGACAATGCATTCAATATTCTTTTCTTCTTATGACCTACTACTCTCACTATTGTAGTCACATCAAGGTTTGCCATCATATTTAAGCCTTTGTTGCTCATACTTACTGAATTTAAATAGTACATAAGATCAAACTTAAAAGAATTAATTTTTGTATTGTTTAATGAAACAAGGAGATAGTATATGAATACTATCAATTTTTTTATATGATCTATCATTTGATCATTGCACTCGTGTAGCTGAGATGCTAAAATAAGTTGATTAAAAAAGTCTTTTAGGTTTGATTTGATCCCTTAAAGTAATCCTTGCAATTCATCAAATGCATATATGAGACCTTCTTTCTTCAAATATTCTCTATCATATAGGATTTTTGCTATTTTTTGATAGTTCCAGTAAGATCAACCTTCATACTTACCTCTTTCTCACTTATAGCTTCTGTTTTCTTCTCAGTTAAGACCTTTACTCATTTAAGACCTCTTTTTAATGGATTTTCTACATATCGTATATAATATATATTGCATAAAATAACGCCTTCCATTCATGTTACCTTCACTAAATTTTTGCTTTTGACTTCTTTTCATTTTTTTTCATTCAATAAATGGAATTTAGTCAACTCAGAAGTCTAGTATTCTATGCAATATTTTCTCATTTTAGACATATTTTACTAGGTAAATAGTAATATAAAAGTTATGGGATTTAAGAGAATTCAACAGATATTATTACACTTTACTGTGAGAATTTCAAATTTGCTAAATATACTTAATCACGTTTTATTATAAGAAATGCAATGTGTAAATCTCTTGAAAAAGTATTATAAAATGTATAAAAAAAATTTATTAAATTATGTAATAATTTTCTTATATGATACAGTTGTACCTGAGCTTTTATACTACAAATTAGTATGATAGTGATTATAGTGCAATTGTAACTATAAAGGGGTATTTTCTATTTAAAAAAATCAGGACCAAAAGTTACTATGACTATAGTGAAGTATAATTACATAAGAGGTAAATATAATGGGAGATGACTATATACAAATTATTACAAATAATATTATAAATATTTTTAAATTTTAAATTTTAATTTTTAAAATCAATATTATTTATAATTATTAATTTCAGATATTATAATCTTTAGTTAAATATTTTATAAGATCTAATTTTTTTATTTGATATTTTACAAATTATATTGATAATTATTTTTATTATCTGATCTGAAATTTTTTTTTTTTTTTGTTAATTTTTAATAGTTTTTTCTATTATCAATTATATATTTTACTTTTTTTTGATAAACAGTTATTAATTATTTTAAAAATATTATTTAAAAAATTTAAAAAAGCATTTTAATATTTTGTAAATATTTTAAAATATTCTCATTTAGGTTAATTTTTAATTATGAATTCTATAATTTTTTTTCAAATTTCACATTCTAATTATTCATAATTATTACTACTCTTTTTTTTTTTAAAAAAAAATTTCTTTAAAAAAGATTTTTATTATTAATAAACTAAAAGATTTATTAAAGAAAATTTTTTTTATTAACTATTATACTAGTAACAGAAGTAAAAATAATAATATTTTTTATATAATATTTATTTATTATAAACTTATATTTTATATCCTTTGTCTTATAATAATCTTATGTTTTATTATATATATTAAGATTTTCAATTACTTTTATTCCCTAAAATATTATATAATAAATGCATTTTCTTAATATTGTGATCAGAAGTTATTTTATTAAAAAATAAAAAGAGTTTCAAATATCTTTATTAATAGTTTTTTTAATTTATTATTTATAGTTTATATAATATTAATTAATTAATTTTCTAAATATTTAAGTTCTTTTATTATCTTATTAGCATATAATTTTTCTATAATATATATTATTATTTTTTTTATTTTATTAGATTAATGATAAATATAACTGCCTAAATTTTCATAATATGAATAACAGATATATTATTGTTACTTTATTATATCAAAATTTATTTATATATAGATAAATATACAGTCAACTCTTGATATAGCGAACTCTTAATATAATGAATTTTTTGAATAAATATAATAAAATACTCTTGTTATAGCGAATTGGTTAATTAAATCTCTTAAAATATTCACTATAGCCTTATAGCAGAGTTGAGGTCTAGAATATAGAATTTGTTATAACAAAAGTTGACTGTACTTATTATATTTTACATAAATATTATCTAATATATGATATTTAGATATTTTTTTGTTCAATTTCTAAAAGTATATTATTTATTTTATACTCTGAAAATAAGAGTATAGTGGACTTGCTTATATCACCTTGTCAATCATTTATTAATCATATATAAATGAATTATCACATTAAATAAAATCAGCTGATCCTAAATTAAAAGCTTTAAATAATACAGCATATGATTAGATAAATTCTACAAATCAATAAATTCAATATTTTAAATCATGTAAAATCTGATTCTAAAATAGTAAATTAAAGATTAGGTATTATAAATAAGTTAGCTTATGGCTGAAATAATAATTAGGTAAATTACATAATAAATTAATTTTTTTAGACTTCTAAGATTTAAACAAAGTTATGAATGAATAATCAAATCATACCAATCATAATATTTGATATTTTAGTTTATGTAAAATATAATATTAAAGCATTATATTATAATTTTATATAACATAAAAGTTAGCTTTGAGTTAATATTTTAAACATTTCATATATAAATCATATATTATTAAAAATATTAATAATTTAGATTTCTAAGATTTAGACAAAGTTATATATGCATGATCAAACTATACTAATCATTATATTTCTTAGTTTAGGTTATATAGAATATAATATAAAAGTATTATAATAAAATTATAAATAACACAAAAGTTAGCTTTAAGCCAAATTTTTGAATATTTCAAATATAAATTATATGTTATTATAAATTATATTAATTTTAGCAAAATGTTGCTTCTAGTATAACTTACCCAATAATAATTATATTTTGATAAAATTTAATATGTTATTTCATTATATTAAAATGCAACTACTTGTAAAAATTTAACATATATTTTATGTAGAATTTCTGATCAGAGCATTTTTATATATGATAAATATGAATAAATGATCAGTAAAATAATTGGCAAATTGATCGGCAAAATGTGATAAAATTAAGTATGTTCGCTATGCTGAAAATAAGCAATATATTTATTATATAAAATTTAATAATATTATTTAATAATAATTTAATTAAAGTCTTTAACTTATTTATTCTATAATTTATGTAAGTACTTATTATCAAATTAAAATAAGAATCATATATCCTTAATCTTGACAATATGTTATCAATTTCTTTAATTGCTTATTTATCAACTTATCACATATTAAATAGGTTTCATAATTATCTTAATTTTATAATTTTTTATATTACTGAATTTTATTTTTAATAAAATCATTAATAATATATAGTATAAATTCTGTATTTTTTAAATAATCTATAATTTTATCTTATATTCAAATATTTTATAATTATTTTTCTTATTTCTACTTCAAAGTCTTTTAAATATATATTATCATTATTATTAATAAATATTTTATTAAAATTTTTAAGAAAGTTTTCTCTTATTTAAATATATTAAAACATATTTTATCATTATCTGAAAAAATAATAAAGATAATAAGAAAAAAATTTCATTTTTATTCTATCATTACAAATTTTATATATATATTTTTTATTATATTAATCAACTTCAAAGCTAAAATATAAATTATTAAAAATTTTTTTATTTAAATAAAGATAAAAATGATTTTTAATTATCTTAATATATTAACATTTTAGTATTACATATTATAATTTAATAATATTTTATATATTATAATTTAGTTAAGTTTGACAATTTTTGTTTATTATATAAGTTGTTTATAATAAAAGTTATATAATATAAATTTAAAGTATAAAATTTGAATATAGATTATTATGTAAATTTTTTTTAAGTTTAAAGACTACTTTATTAAAATTATTAAAAATATATATTAATTATATATTAAAATAACTTCTTATACTAATCTTTAAATGATCACAGATTAATATTAAAATAGATAAAATTAAAAGATAATAATATAAAAAGATATTGATAAAGAAATTTTAATTAAAGAAAATCTTATAAAAGATAAAATTTTTAATTTGATTCAAAAGCAAACCAAATAATAATAAAAAATTAATAATGATTTTGATTAAAAATAATTTAGTTATTTATAAAATTAAATTTAATATAGTATTTGTAATTAATAAAATTAATTAAGAAAATAAAGAATATTTAAAATTAGTATTTTTAATTAGCTTTTTTTTGAAGAGTAAGAATACTGGATTCACTATTCAAAAAACCGCCCAATCGAAATTATTTATTTTTATTTTATAACGCTTTGCGACTGGAAAAAAAAATTTACTAAGTATTAAAAACTATAAATGAACGTAAAAAAGAATATAAGTAAAATTTATATCTTGAAATATATCCCTCAGCAGAAGTTATCGATCATTTCTGACTAATGTTGATATAGATCTCAATGCTGCGATACCATCCAGTAAATTCGATTCTTAAATCCTGACCCATTAGAATCGAATCTAACATAGCATCCATGAAACTATTTCATTAACAAATTCTTCCTGGAATAAGTATTATAATTATAATCTTGTGGTGTACTCCGTATAGTTATATAAAAAATGATAGGAATTATATCCATATTAAACATGAAATGTATATTGATTGTAATAATAAGTCTATATATAATAAATAAATTTTTTTTTTTTTGTTTTTTATAATACAGAAATTAACTGAATCTCGGGGATTCATAAAACTATAAATTAAAAAAAAAAAAAAACAAAAACAGAAAAAAAAAATGAAATTGAAACTTAAAATGTCTTTTTCAAATATTATTATTCCGATGATGCACTTATTCCAGCTTTTTCGAATGCGACGACTCCAAAAACAGTCCAACATATAATCAACATCACACATAAAATACTCATATAAACAATAGTCTTTTTCCTTTTCTCGTTATATTCAACTTTAACAAATGATGTTTCTTCTTCCATACAAATAATTTCCTCGCCATTTAACTCATCATCATCTTCATTTCTTAGTTGTCCATAATTATTAGAACTCGTATCATCATGATCATGATTATAATCACCTTCATATTTAGTATTTAAAATTCCTCTCTTATATGTTTTATCCATCCACCAAAATATTAAAGAGACCAAGAACAAAATACCACCTAAGATGGCAAACATCCTTAAAGCCACCAGATCATCATCCTCATGACCATACTCTATACCTTTATCATCAATTATGTATTTTTTACGTCTTTTATGCTCATCTAGCAATAATCCAGCAAAAGTTTGACAAAGAGTCGCACCAATATTATCCACACTTTTAAGAAGTCCGAGACCAGTGGAAACATGTTTTGTGAGCATTGGAATGAGGGTGACCATGGTAAGTGGAACTGCTGCGAAAGCCACAGCGAAAATGAATAAAGGTGGAAATGGATGTATCATATGTGGCGGTAAAAGTAATAATAAATAGGTTATAGTTATGCCTGCCGATCCAAATATTACTAAAGATCATATAAAAATAATTAGAAAAAATATATATATATATATATTATTATAGAACATAAACAATCACGAGCTTACATATCCACAACCTAAAACCATATTTATCCAAGAACAATCCCAAAAAGGGGTATAAAATTACTGGTAGTAATAATATTATAGAAGAATCCCACGCGGCAAACATATCCGTTGTGTCAAATCGATGTTTAATGATGTTACTGCATTCAAAAAATAATAAAATTTTTTTTTTTAAAAAAAAAAAAATAAGAAAAGTAAATATATAGTATATATATATATATATATACTGACCTTGATAGATGAAGGAAAGGAGAAATTGCAGCTCCAAATAGAATTCCCACAACCAAAAAAAACCAAAAAATATCCGACAAATCAAATATAGCATTCCAATGAACAGTCTTCTTTTCCACCACCGAATGAATTGCAATGCCTTCCCTCCTATGATTTTTCCTATTGTCAGCGTGTTTTAATAAAAACACGTATACAATGTTCATAATCCATGACATTGCACATGTGATAGTTGCCACTATGAAAGGTGTACGATATTTAAGTGGCTCCATTAAGGATAATGGAACGGCTAGCACGGTAGCAACAAATGAGGCCTATAAACAAATGAATGGTATAAATATATTATCCTTACTTTTTGATATACTCGAATGATAAATAAATTAATGATATTAAAAATAAGGAAGGATGGGGATGTAAGGTGTAATCCCTAAGCCTGTACTCAAGGGACATCAGACTTACTAATCTCCCTAATGTTAATCCGACTGCTAAGGCAAATCCCAATCCTTTCCCTTGAAAGAATTGGACAATAATTGTTTCTTGAACGATTGTTAAAGGTGCCAAACCCATGCTAGATATAATGAATATATTTAATTTTAATGGGGAAACTCCTTTGATATAGGCATAAAAGAATTATTTCTTACCCGAAAACGGTAAATCCAACCATCATAAATCCAACTTTACCATCCCAACTTGCGGCAGTGAAAATAATCATACCCAATAATATTATTGATGTTATAACTAAAGAGCTACGAGTAGTTCCAAATTTTGCTACAAGAAGACCTGAAACTATTGGTATCACCGTATTACATAGAGTAATTGATGCGATCAATAGTGAGAATTGAGTATTCGTGAGATCAAGTTGCTTTTTCAATAAATAATGAGCCAGGTAAAAATAACCAAATATTAGATTTTATGTCAAAAATTATTAGCAAAACTTAAAAATTAGGTTTGTACGTACAGTAGATACAATACCTCCATTAATATCCCCTTCATAGGTCCAATAATATGTGAAGCAAAATGACTTCCGACACCAAACGTACACGCACAAGCCATCGCGCACATTTTTATTATATATTCCGAATTATCATATTTCAAATTCCCTCTTCGACGTTCAGGGACTAGACCACATAATTCCTCCCCTGCATGTTCTCCACTTCTTCGAGAAAAACCTGCAGCAGAAATATGCTTATTTTTAAGAAGCCATTCTTTGTCGTCTATCGTCTCGGAATGTTCACTTACGGTTAGTGTTGATAAGGAAGGTGGAAGCGATGCGAGCTCCTCATCAGAATCTCCTTCTGAATGTCTTGTTGAAATAGTTGTTAGTTTTATTTGTTCCATATTTAATGGATTTTACAAATTCTTGTTTAAGTTTATACTTGATCTTTTATTCGAATCTAAAGTGGAAAATAAAAGACGGTGGGTTTTGAATAAAATCAAACGTTACATTGATGTCATCATACGATTTTAATTACAAACGAGTATATGGAAAACCGATACGGTACGATTCGCCAGACCAGTACGGTACGATTATGCAGATCAGTATTTTTTCGCGGGAAATTTGAATCGTACCG